TAAAGAAAATGACGTCAGGCGTTCAACGGCAACATATACGCTGCGCAAACAAATACAGCTGAGAGTTATCAGTGTAACTTTTTGATATTTTAATACAAGAAGATTAATAAACTTGAATCGAGAAATATGCCATGAGGAACAAAAAGCAACTATATATTTTTATGTAAATTTAGAAATTTACGGAAATTCAATCATAAATTAATACTTAGTCTACAAGAAATTCTGCAAAGCTATACATTTTGCATTACCCACACTATGATTGATATACTGTGAGTGATATGTATTTCATTTCACCTATTAAAAACCAGAATTTGAATTTCACTTGTAATCAAAAATTATCGCAACAATTTGACAGAGTATATATGCTAAATAATTTGCGAAATATTGACAAATTAAAATATACGGTTCATAAATGAAATTTAGTCAATTAAATTAAGCGAAGCAACAGTCACGTTGTTTCTGTCCGTTTCATGATGTCATTACAAATACATGTATCTTAATAATCCTGAAAAGCACGGGGGAAATGCATTGTTTCTTGGCAGGGATAATATAATGATCAGTGACAAGGAATTGAATGATTTAAATTATTGTGATAGTGGTACATGTAAAGCAGACAAAATAAGGTGCATTTCTTCTCCCTAAATACAAGAAGTAGCTACAATGTACGTATGTTTATAGGCCTACAGCAAAAAATAATTAAACAGATATTACAGAGTGAATCGTTATCGGGATAAAGACAATTATAATTTATTATATTATTGATGCATTATTTTACGAGAAAATACATATTTGGTGGAGAAATACATGTAGTTTTATTCAGAATCTAACTCATTGCTGAATTTCACTTCGGACAAGAACATGAAGTAAAAAATCGTGTAGATTCTTGTAACTTTAATAGAATTCCATGATTCTGATTCCCTGAAACTCTTATACTTAGTTTATATTACCTATCAATCGTATTGTGTTCAATAATGGTCTAAATGGGTCATAAACATAACATTTCAAAACGTTATTTATCCAGTTAATTTTAATTTTCTGATCTATGAATATCTATTCTATGAAAATAAACAATGGAGAATAGTTGTGTCACGGACTTAAAATCCGTGGTTGAAATCTAAGTGAAACGGGCCGGGCCATAGTTTTTCAATGCCTTTATATTTGAAAGATCCTGGTGGGTTAAAATACCACACCGTGCATATCCAGTAATGGTGGAATGTGCAAATAACGTAAAAGTAACGCCGAATCTGTGCAACGCTATTGCCAAAACGAATAAAACAGTAAGTAAACGAACCAAAATAGTTTATTCTAGAAATGAATTAGCGCATACGGCTGCTACGACATTATACTTCAACCAGAATTACATTTTTATTAGCAGAAATATGTTAACTTTTCTTGATCATTCGTGAGAAAGACAATCTGATTATAGTTTTGAATGTTACTTTTGTGTTTCGTCAAATAAATATGTACATTTAACACATTTAAAACATAACCTTTTCGTAGTCTATATACCTAAGACATTTGTCAAACTATAAGTGCCGTATAACAATAGAAGGAAACTGGTAAAATAAGATTTAGCTACCTTTAATGGTGTAACCGTAAAAATCGCTTAGACTAAGTAGTAAGTTTGCAAAAGTTGTATGAGAACGTATATTGCCTTGTGTGTTCGCGTCCTACTTACGGGACAATACGAGAAGAGCCGACGTGTTCCGGATAGACTGGATATCCATATTTTAGCTACTTGTGACTGAAAGTACTGACGAGCTTCCGTCATGTTTAAACGATAAACAGTTGATACAACATAACACAAAATCTTATATCGCTGTGATTTATTAATTTATTATAGTCAATATGTATAAAATTAATCATAACATAAAATTTTGGAAACAATCTCTGAATAAATAATACACGAGTGTTATTCGATAAACAGTTAATAAATGAGAATTATGAAGCTGTGTAGCAATTATTGAGAATTGCTACTTAATCAAAACCTGGTATATGGAGTTGGCTACTTAATCAAAACATGGTATATGGAGTTTAAAGAGGAAAGAATGTATAATGATTGTTATTGATATTTTGTTATTTGCCGCCAAATAAGTTCGCGTGCGTTTGATTTTGACAAGTAGCATGGGAGAAAGTCAATATGTCAATTCAATAATTAATTGCATGTCTGTGACATCACCCGGATATAGACCATCTTACACATAACACACGGCGTTTACGGTTGGCCACCCGTGTAAACCGTACATACAACCGAGCTAACCTTGAGTTTTACCGAGTTACACTCGAGTGTATCCGTGCAAGCCGTGTATGATTTTTAAAACACTGGTACGGTGTAATGTTCGTGTATGATCGTATAAACGACCGTACAAGACCTATGAGACCGTATATACAACCGTACTTGAAGTCTACTCCACGAGTGAGCCCAACCGTGCCAAAATCGTATATAAATCGTATGGAATTGTTCGAGACCGTCCCAAAGTCCTACATCCAACACCCGATTAACATCCGAATGTCACACGATCACGGTACGATTCACTCGAGTGCCAACACGGTTTCATACGATCGCTGTACGACCAATACGATTCAAGTACGAATCATACATAGAAGACACGGTATAGTACGGGTATACATGGTCTCGTACGGTCTTACACGACCTCTACATCAGAATGAACTGTACAACGAAAACCAAAACCACCTGCTGCCACCCTCAATTGCTAGATCTAGCCCGAGTACTTGCTGCACCATACTAGAATTATCCAAAGAAGAAGGTTCCCACGCATAGAAGGAATGCAAGAAGGGCCATCCAGGCCCGCCGACCACTCCAACCTTCTGACCTGCCAAGCCTGATGAGCAGGGGGGACATCAATGTCTATCAGTCTTACCATAATATCTCATTCCCTTATCCTGTCATCTGTTGCATCTGGCATTGTTTTATATAACCAATATTCACATATATAGGTGTTCTACGTTGAAAGTTGAAAATTTATTAAGCGCAAAATACGATAAACAAGATCAAAAAGGAAAGGCGGCGTTCGATGAAGACATCATAATGGGTCAATTTATATCAAAACATACACGAATATGTGATAATATGAGCATAACTCGAACAAAAGTCGGCGGGATCCTGTGAAAGTCAAGTAAATTGAGTAAAACTCGTGTTTAATCGTACCAGGCTGTACTAGACCGTACTTTGAAACGTGCAACAATCGTATGTATTCGTATGCAAATCGTTTTCAAACCTTGCTTGTCCGAGTATATCCGTCCATGCTCGTGCTACATTTAAGTCTTACTCGTGCGTGCCAACTAATCCCCAGGCACGGTTGGAGCTGAATACTCGTACCAGTTAACCCGTGTATAACCGAGTATACCGTATGGGAACCGTGTGCCCAACCGTGTTTTGTGTGAGACGGGCTTATGACAAAGTTATTGAAAATATAAACTTGCTTGTTACGTAGGATGAGAAAAATGTTAGGTCTGACCACAACTCTAACCCGGGACCCTCAGAATACCAATCTGCATATCTGCTGGCTGCATGTTTATTTTCTTGACATTTGACACATTGAATTCTGTTCGAGTTTTTTACTGCGATTTTTGAAACCTATATACTTAAAAACAATACAAATGATGTGTTTGTTAATCTTATTAAAAGCACTATATCTTTCTCAAACAAATATTTTGGGTGTTAACTTGATTTTTAAGCATTTGGGAATGCTCCACCGGTCAAATTCTATCTGGTTTTCCGTTCCGAGTGAACTTTTCTATATCTGTGATTTATAACTCATCTTATAGCACATCGTTTTCATTTATCCCTTATGTTTTGTGAAATTGCTAATTAGTCTTGCAATATCTTGAAATTCGAAGGTAGTGATTCGCCCTTATATTAGTATAAGTTATTAATAACAATTATTTCTAACAAATAAGCGACATTTTAGTAACATTTTAACTTTATATTTTAACTTTATTATAATTAAGCCTTGTTACATTAAATTACAAAGATTACTTTACAAATGTGTGTACAGTCCAACCCCGTTTATTCGAAGTGCCTGAGACTGAATATTTACTTCGAATAATCGATGGGTTCGAATAATCGTAATCGGAATATTGCGATAGACGGAAACTACTCCTCTTTGACCAATCATAGCAAAACTACCGTTAATAACACACTTACTTTCTGCATTCAATTGAGAAAAATAAATATTAAAGAAAAGTTGCGTAATAATTATTTAATTGGCATTGAAGACATAAATACTTGCATTTTATTCTACATTATGTATCGTTTCGTTTCGCGCAAAACCTTGATAATGGCGGTGTATTTACAGCTAAACAGGTGATTTCGATAAGCATGTAGCGTTACAATTAATATAAAAAATATAAATGTTCGATGATTTGACATAATTCGCATATACGGTTTGTATGAAAATTATTGCTGTCATCTTCAAGCAATAACAGTAACAAAATCGAACACGGTGCATAGCTTTTCATTTTCGGTAATTAAAGTTGATTAAAGAACACACAAAGAGAAATTATGATGATTGTCTTAATACAGGCATGACTGTTGTTATTTTTTCACAAGTCGACCGGTCAGCGAGTGGATCTGCACCAATTAGGCTGGCTTCGAATAATAGGTGTGAAATTCTTTCATAATTGTATGATCGGGATCGAAATTTTACTTCGAAAAATAGGAGGTATTCGGATAATGCATTTCGAAAAATAAGCTCGTATCTATATTGATTTATATAGAGATAAAAACGGGACCGCCCATCTACTTCGAATAATGCCGGGTATTCGAATAAAGGGTTGTCGAATAACCGGGGTCGGATTGTATTTTGACAATTCCTCATAAATGGATCACAATCTTTCTTCTGGTGTAATTTTGGTGTATCCTTATTTCTTAAAATTATTTTATTTTCTTTGTTATCAAAGTTAGTTTTTTAATTACAGCCAACAGAAAAATACTTAATGCACTATACATATAACTATTGGCAGACACGCATCAAAATTTATCCAAGGAAGTTGATGAAAACGCTCGAGTCCTTGCCTGTTTTCTTATCCACTGCTTTCACGATAATCTCTGTACCACTAAAAGTCATAGACACGATGATTCCTCTTCCAGGCTGCTTCTCTGGTTCCGGAAGATCAATTTCCAATTTTCCAATAAGCGAACATTCTGTCGTATATCTTGGATTGCATTGCTCTGTGGCGAAAATTTCAAAAACTACTTTACTTTGGAATTCATAAACTGTAAAGTAAGTATTTTCAACTTGCGGTTCATTACATTTGACGACTTGTCCTTTTTCAACATGTTTACTGAAAACTTTACATCGTACACCTTCTTCTGTTATAACCTTCAACTGTTCTGGGTCAGTTCCTTCTTTGAATGGTTCAGTTGTTTCAACACCATATGTGTACTTCAAGACTCTTTCCCGTATGGATACCGGACTATGTCCATAAACTAAGAATGGTACAAGATGCACTAATTGGTATAACAACATCTTGTCCTGTTAACGCTTTTTTAATTGCGTGCTGCAGCATAGAAGACTCGGAGTATCCACCTACCATTAAAATTGTTTTTATCTTCCTAATGTTTTCATCTCGAAGTAGACTTGTCACATGCTTGATGGTTTTTCCGACGGAATGTTCAAACATGCTTTTAAAGAGAATTGCGGAAAATTTTATCTTGTCTCCGCTAAACTCAATATCACTTGCATACTTTGAAGCTTCTATGGCACCCAACAGCTTTCCTTTAGTGATTCTTTTAAAGGTTTTGCTGAACGAAAGAGGAAATCTCATACCAACACGAGCATTTTTATCCGGTGCAACAGCTCGCTTTTTTACTTCAAAATCACGCCAGAGGTCAAGCCAGTCTTCTGTCTCAGTTCGTTTAAAGGCATCATAAACATCGGGTCCAGCCAGATCAATAAGCAGGTTTTCAAAAGCTTTGTCAACTAATATACCTCCCCACCCACCACCACTTGCTGACTGGATTTCTTTGACGCTGTGCTCGCTGACAACCTCGTGTACCGTTATATCTATTGTTCCGCCTGAACAAAACATAAATACAAAATTACATGAAAAGTTTAAACATAAAGACTTTGATTAAACAACGGTTTGTCAATAAATTAAGCAGCTTTTTCAATAAAACAATATAGCCACCGTCTGAGGGGCACGCTCGACCTTTTATTCTAAAGTGAAGCACATCAGAAGAAGAAAAATGTATTAAAGACAATGTGACCATACCACGTGACTTTTAGGGTATGGATCACCCGGCTCAGGTTGGTTTTTTATTCATAACTTATTTATTACTCAACCGATTTTGATCAGATAAGGCGCAGAGTTCTGAAAACACTCATTTGTCATAAGAAGCGATTTCTAACAAGTCATTTTTTTGTCACTATTTCATAGAAAAAAACATGTTAGAGCTGACAGATTTACTAGGTCCAATGTATCGAGTGAATGCAGTGATGTTTTAGAATATTTTCATAAAGTTAAAAATACCGTATACTTTATTGAGAATTGATGGTATACGGTATTTTTTATATATGTAAAAATTGTTTGAAAACCATTTTATCGTTGTAATAAATGTCACATTCGTGTTTAAATATTAAAATAGTTTTGATAGAGTATTTACAGGGGCGTATCACGTTGGGGGGGGGGGGCAGGATCTGACCCCCAAGCGTCTGTGGTATTGACATAAATGTGTTTAGTCCCATAGCGGTTTAACCGGATATATAGGAAAGATGCCTCTTGTTAAGAACTTAGGAAATCATCATAAAAGTATGATGTAATAAGTAGAAATAGAATTTTATTATTTTGCCGAAAAAAGAGGCATTTTATGTACCATGTTTGTTAAGACTGGCAAGAGTGAGCAACGTTCTATGAATTGATTCCTTTCAAAAGTATGCATAGCCATAAATACACGATACACCAAAATGATATTGGAAACAATGGACTTGGAGACTGTGACGCAGTGCATGTGCAACGTCATTTGTTAAATTAAAGTTTTACTATATACGTATTTGCTCGAAAGTAAAAACGCGGGGGCAATCACGTGACTTTGTTTAGTAATACCAACGAGTAATGGCGACTTCTGAGCCTCGGTAAGTTCATTATTTTTATAAATTTAGGTGATAAACCTTCCCTTAATTCAAATTAGACCTGACCTATCATATACACGGTAATTTTCTTCTTATATCTATACAAGGGCATTGTCCTATGTTTTATGGTTTTCGAGAACATTGTGTTGAATTGTGTTAAAATTGCAAATAGAGCTTAAAAGTAACCCACACGATACTGTATAATTGGGTACCAATATGAATAAAAATAAGCTTTCCTCCTTCATTAAAACACAATATCAACGATAATATTGACATCTTTTAGCGTAGGAGGCGATATAAATTGTTGCTAGAGGATATGTAGAGTAAAGAGAATCTTTGCAGATTGATAGGTAGTAAAACAAGCAATTTCTGGATAGTAAGTCAAACGAAAACAAAATAGTAAGTTTCACACATGGTTTCTAATATTTACATATATATTGAATTCTATCACTCCACGTGATTTTGTCACTATAGACAAAGAAGGAAAAAACCGGTGTTAAACTGCCAATAAACACTCGTTAGGGACTACTTGTATATGCGGCTTTTATGTTTTCACCCTCGATTATATAGTTTACAAAGCCTTTTAAAGCAACAGTAAAAAGCATTTTTATTTATATTTTCAGTTCTTATAATGTTTTCTTTTCATACAATACCGAAATTATATCTCACATACACTAACGCCACATATTTGATCCATATCAGTTAATAAATATTTTGACAAAACGGCGCCAATCCGTAAGCAGCGTAATGACGTCATCGTAAGTAAACAATTCATTCATAAACGGCTATTTAACACCGGTTTGGAGTTTTGATGCGTAGGAATCGACCACGAAGGCCGTAGGCCTGAGTGGTTAATTTTTTCGTATCAAAACGACAAAACCGGTGTTAAATAGCCGATATACACCTCTCAGGCCGATGTTATTTCGATTCTAACACGATAAAATAAGGAAGATCACTAATGTTATTTTTCAAGCGGAAATAACTTCCGGTGCCGATTTTCGTAAAACGCTGTTCGATTTTCGCACCCTACTGTTGCGAAGATATAGAAATTATTAAACAAAAGAAATAATAAGAAAAAAAAAACGTTGTTTAATCAAGTTTTCAACAATAAAAACGTCGTTTTGTGTTTACGTCAGTGCCCCATTTATCATTCTTGTATGTATGAAATAGCATCAGCTTGTTTATACTTAGGATGACGTCATTACGCTGCTTATACGGATTCGCGCCGTTTTGTCAAAATATTTATTAACTGATATGGAACTAATACGTGGCATGAGTGTATGTGAGATATTATTTCGGTATTGTATGAAACGAAAGCATTATACGAACTGAAAATATAAATAAAAATGCTTTTTATTGTTGCTTTAAAATGCTTTGTAAACAATACAATCGAGGGTGAAAACATAACAGCGCATATATAAGTAGTCCCTATCCGGTGTTTATTGGCAGTTTAACACCAGTTTTTTTCCTTCTTTGTCTATAGTGACAAAATCACGTGAGTGTTAGAATTCTTAAATGAAATAGATATGTATTCGCAAAGAGTTAAAGATTTAATTTAATTCATGATCAAATATTTTCTTTTGTTTCGAAATAAGGAATGCTTAATCGGTTGTTTATATAACATATGTGATTCTTGGTACATGTTTAAGGACGTCATTGTCAATTTTTCTTAGTCCATAAGCTCTATATTAATAACTTATAACAAGTAGATTTTATTTTCGATTTCTTCAGAAGTAAAAATAGTTTAGCAGAAACGTGTGTTAAATCTTGAAAAAGGGTTGTCCTTTGGATGGATTGATCACGATAAAAATACGCAGAAATGAAATGAAACCGAATGACCAGAAGTGACTTAGGTAGCTGGTTTGCTTACTTGACAAATAACATTCAATGAAGGCATTTTGTGTTCTATTTCTGTATCTTGTTGAAGTTGACGGGGTTGTAATTGAATTTAGTTTCTACAATAAAGTTAACATATTTGATATTGTTTTCTAATATTTGTGCAAAGTATGTGAAAAAGGGTCAAACAGTCATTCCGGGTTATGGTATGAGAGAAGCCACATTGGTTATGCCTAATGCAAGTGCTGCGGGAAACTGTTTTACAGCAAAGCCAACAAAGCCAGGGACAGATATTCGTTTGGTAACTTAGACATACCGGTATATTGAAAAAATGAATGGTTTATATCGTATGATTTGCTGCATTTATAACCATCGACATAACAGTAAACTTGCTCCTTTAAGAGGCATAAACTTATTTTGACAAAACGACAGTACATGTATAGAATAGACTTGTTTTGTCTTTGGGTAATAACAGTCAAATGCCACTGATTATTTAAAATGATTCTAAAATAAGTTTCATAGCTCTATCTATTTTGTCATGTTGCAGGTGTCATAAACACAAGAAAGAAAATCAGTTTGTCTGCAATTGTGGAAGCAAATTCGCCATTGAGGCCGACTTGCTGGTTCACCAGGACTTTACATGGGTCGGCAAGCATAAACAAGAGTTACCTGCAACATGAACATTCACCGGAAGAAACAACTTGAAGATCACGCGGTTATGCCCAAATGGGAGAGTAACTGTGCATAGACCTGTAGCCCCCCCCCCCCCGCCTTGCATAGCCGCGTAGTATTCAAATTGTTTTATTGTGTAAATGCTGATATTAGAGGTGTCACATGTCTATGCGGTCGGGTCATGTACTTTCTGGTGAACCTTCTACGATAAAAGATGTCAATATTATCGTTGATTTTGTGTTTTTAATGAAAATTTTCATTCATTTTGGTACAAAATTATACCGTCTCGTGTGGATTACTATAGCTGCATTTGTAATTTTCAAAAAATTGAAACAATGTTCTCGAAAACCATATTTGTATGGATTAAGGAAACGTTTCTCACCTAAATTTATAAAAAAAATGATGAACTTACCGATGCTCAGAAGTCGCCATTACTCGTTTGTATTATGGCCGTTGACTAGGACCCATGTCTTCTGTGTTGAGATTCGAGAACTATTTAACCACCTCTCTCCTATATAGACATTTATGAAAGCACAAATAAATGCACCTTTTGAAAATGTTGCGGCAGCCTTCATTTATACACCATTTATAGCAAGTTTGTAACTTTGAACAAACCGTCCATGAAAAGGCTCAATCAAACCGAGCCTGCAACATTTTCAATTTTGTGTTGGACTTTCTTTGGGGATTCTTATTTCACTGTATTTTGTATATAACATCAAACTAAGAATAACAAGATATTTGACTAAATAAAAACCTAAGATAAACAAATCACCGTCCTATAGAGAGACATATGAGATTTGATCTTTCGTTAAAAAAAGAATTGTTCCATACCTCCTGCATCGAGAACCATGTATCTGGTACCGACAGGCATCTTCGCTATTGAAAGACTTCCACCAGAAATAGCTGTATCCACCGATAAATGGCGGCAAAATATCGATGCCGCTTCTGGTTCCAGTGCAATCGTCAATTTGTTTGTTAACAGTCCAGCCTTGAAACAAACAAAAAATGATATGCATAATTACATTTATATTAAAATCTTATTTTTTAAACATAATTGACGAAAATATGTATTCAGAGAGGAAAAAACACTTATCATCATACGTTTATAAAAGCAAACCGTACGGTGACTAGTACATGTGCACATATTTCTATTCCAATTTCCCACAATAGCAAAAAAAGGTGATTTACATTATTTGAAATCTAATTGACAACACACACACGTTTACAAGTTTTGATCTTGTTTATCATATTTATCAATGTTTTAAATGTTTGAAATACAAATGAAGTTATTATTCAAATAAATTAGATTAAACTCCTACATGAAAAAGAGAAAACTAGTATAACCTGTACCGCGGCCTCTCTCATAAATTGTTTTGCAGCATCTGTCCATATTGCCGGAACAGTAAGTACCCAATGAACATCATCTTTTTTTAAAGGATTTGTAAGTTTATCATTTACACTCTTCATCATATCTCCTACTAGATATTCGATTGCCATGGCAAACACGTTTAACGCAATCATCGACTTTCCCATCTCATCTTCTATTGTCGTGCCGCGGTCCAGTTTCTGTAGTTTAAAAGTCATTCTTTTTTGAAATACCAACCAACAATTCTTATATCATATGTCCATTAGTGCATGTATATTGTTATCTATATATACTTTTTTAAGGAGATAAACAAATGATGTCCATTCCTTTTCCTGACATTTGTAAATCGAAATTCTGATCATGATACACAAAAGATAGTCACATTAGAACAATCAATCAAAAATTACACGTACCTACCTCACCAAGCTTTTTATTAAGTGCCATTTTAAATCTTATGAAGTAATAAAACTCTTCATGCATTTTATTGTCTGCAAGTTCCCTGAATTGGTTTTCAGCATCATATCCAAACTCTTCAAAAGTCTTTCCATCTGACTTTATCAACAAACACGTTGGTGCTTTTTCTGTAACTAGAGTTCCACTAGAGTACCATTGCTTGACAGACGCTTTAGTAGGATCCAATAAAAAATCATTCAGGAAGGAGAAAGCCCAGCCAGAATATGTTGTGCCAAAGTCTATCGCCTCGACGAGCAAGCTCATTGTAGCCTTAATAAAACAATTAAAGGGCGAAATGAGGACATACGAAATATAAATGTGTTGAAATATGTATTCATGTTAAGATACTTTACGGCGTGATACTAATGTAAATTAGCTGAGTTAGATGTAAAACTCATTAAACAACTTAATTACTCAAGAAAAGTGGAGAACATTCGAGAGAATCAATGATCCCGGAGAACCAGAAAATGAAACACTTATTCATGGAAGAAAGTGTATGACATGAACAACAATGTATATTGTTTTAATTTCAATATTAAAAATACGTAATCCCTAAAGAACGCCAAAACGGCAAAATTGATATGTTGCAGGCTCTGTTTGATTCAGCCAGTTCATGGACGGTAGTGGAAAGTGCAAGCTGCAGTCGACGCCCTCTAGCACTGGCTTAAGCAGAATAAATATAATATGAAAACATGAAGTAAAAAACAATCGAAGAATTAATCAAACATTAGAATTATGATATAGTTTGTTAAAACACATACCATGACAAATGGACTACTAATTCGCAGTTTCACTTCTCAAAGCCGCTTTTAAATCTAACTTTAAAATCTGAACGGTCGGACCAGGATGATAATTATAATAACAATTTTCCATGAGAAAAGTTCTCGCACGTTATCAAGTCATGGTGTACAGTGTAAAGTTTAATCTTTACAAGTATTAAATACCACAATCAGATTTGTTATCAGCTGAAACCTACATGCTGTGGTCTTGTGTTGCTTGTTTTTGTTGGGAGCATGCGTTCATTGAGTGTCGCCCTCCCTCTCACATATTGTTACTACATTGTATCATGTTGTACAAAAACTATTTCTAAGCAAAAGCCGGCTGAGCCGGTTTGTGCTCCCCGAATAGGTTTTGAACACAGAAATGTATACCTCTTGTAGTTTCAGAGTTATGTCCCTGACAAAGTTTGAAGTACAATGATTCAAAACTGAGGCAAGACAGAGTTACTGCTTATCTACCTTATGAGATCTATGTACCTACAAAGTGTCTTGTTCATATCTATTATATTTTTAGAACTATATCCTGGAAAATGTTCAAAGTGTAGAAATGAATAAAGGGCAATAACTCAAAAATTAAACAAGGTAGAGTTATGGTTATTTTGCATAGCACTTCTATTTAATGAGATCTATCTACCTACAGAGTTTCTTGCTCATACCTCATGGTTTCAGAGTTGTGTCCCGAACAATGTTCAAAATGTTAAATTGATCAAAGGGCAAAAACTTCAAAATTAGGCAAATAGACTTATGGTTCTTTTGCACTACACTTCAACCTTTTGAGATCTATCTACCTACAAAGTTTTATGTATGTTGATATCTATTAAAGTTTTAGAGTTATATCCCCGACAAAGTTCATAGTATTAAAAATTAACAAAGGACAATAATTCCAAAATTAGGCAATGCAAATCTACTTAATAAGATCTGTCTTCCTACAAAGTTTCATGTTGATTGCTTTTTCAAAGTTATGTCCGAGTCAAGAAAAGCGGAAGGACAGACGGAGTGACGGACGAGCGGACGGACTAAGCGGCGACTATTTGCTCATCCTTTGAGGAGCATAAAAAGTGGGAAACATATCTAACAACTTTTATGCTACGTTGTTTTACCTTGTTATATTATTTTTACATATTAAACTTCTGGTGGTTTAAGTTCTGAAAATCCCATATGCGTGCGTGTGTGCGTGCGTAAGCGCGCGTGTGTGCGTCCTTACACGCGTGCATGCGTGTGTGCCTTGGGGGTCAATCCGCCCTTCCAGAAATCTAGAGTAAAGGCAAAAGGGACTGAAGTATCCATCTTCCCCCGGACACCCTGGACTTAGTCACATAAGGGTAAAATATCAGCATATACTGGCTAAAGATAAATATACGTCACTAAATCCCTGTTAATTGGAGCCTGGACTACTGCTGAGCTTCCTATCATAAAATTATTTCAGTCAAAACTATGCATAGTGGGGCGGGAAATTGAGAAAATAGTGCAAATTGTGATACAAGCATGAAACTTTCAGGAAATCATTTTTAGACCATGTAGATTTCAAAAGTGAAGTGGGCCCAAAAATATCTCTGCTCATTCAAGATGGCCGCCTTTTTCAAAATGGCCGCATATAAATTTGAGTACATTCTTGCTCATTCATTCCAATTTTTTGTACAGACCTTTTACTCACACCAAAAGCATGCATATAATTTCTCCTTTTCAAAAATTTAAATCTCACAAAATTTCTCTTTCATACTTCTTCCAAATCCAAGATGGCGTCCATTATGGCCATCGATTTTGTGCAAAACTGTTATATCATTTTTATAGTATAATTTGTTGCACAAATTATGTTTATTATGATAAAAAAGTGTTTAAACATATCAGATATAATCAAATTATATCTAAATCTCAATAAAAGTAAACATTTAAAAAGTTTTTGTCTAAAAATATCTTCTTTTTTATTCTATTATATTCCATTTTTTTCATATTTTTCAAATTTGATTTTCTAAAGTAATGTACAAAGTTAAAAAAAGTTACTTTATATCTTAAACTGTATTTGACATTCCATTAATATCATGTGTTTATTGTAAAGAATGTAAGAAAAACATTAAATCTGTAGGTTTTATATTTTGTGAAAGTGGGTGGGGAAATTTTATATGATAATGTGAAAGAAAAAACAACAGAAAATCTACATAGCTAAGTTCATTCTATTTCTTTGCCTTTTTACTTTTCTATGAATTCTTATGCAAATGTTCCAACTTAAAAAGTACTTTTATTGGATGAAAGTATTTTTGTCTTCCTTCGGGCCATTTGGTGGGTGAGCAAGAAATGCACATACAAACATGTGTATACATTCAGTTATTAAATTTGGTTGCATGATAATTTTTGTTTCAATACATTTGATATCATATATTAATTGTTAATCGTAAAGACATATAAGAAGACAATAAATCAACTAAACGTGCTTAAAATAGCAAACATGTACTTGAATGTAAGGTATAAAGGTAGTCTATAAACGCATATATTTGACTCCTCCACAATTTTATATATTATAATATCAACATGGCTAAAAAGCCAACAAAATGTATGTGATGTAAAACATATATATCAAGGATATGGCCTGGCCTGCATGCAACTTTTTGAAAAGTTAAGATACAAACTAAGTGTATTAGTATTTCCTAAAGTAATCATATCTTTTTTTTCCCTTTCAATAAGAGGGTAATGATGACCCTGGGTCACTCACCTAAGATCATTGTTGGAACAAGATCATTTTGGGAGTGTCAATTATGTCATAACACACATGATTTGAACATGCTCAATATCTGCTTTCAATTTTTAATTTCACACGAGAGAACTTTAATAACCATATCTATATACGAGTCCATATAAACTTAGTGACCTTTTGTGTTTGGTAAATCTGGACCATGTTGCCCATGATATATCATTATTATAACATAATTATGATGATACATGATTAATGTATATGCGTCGGATAGTGTAGGTTAAGAGAAAACAGATTTATTACAGTAGTCTTTGTAAATTAAGTGATACCATTGCAAAACCATTTTAGACTGCAGTAGCATCATACAAATTTATGCATCCCAAATATCTTATTTCAAGTCAATGAAGTTTAACACTAGATGTTTTTAAAGTGTTTTCCTATACAAGTATGTGAACCCAGGTGGCTCTATGAGCATGATTCATTAAATGTGTTAATAAAGACCCAAGGTGGTGCTACATGCCAGTTTAGTACCAGTGCTCTACGCATTTTGATTTTTGAGAATATTTTTTAATTGCATGTACACTTAATGATACAAAAGTGTTTTATGTAACTTTTAAAGAGGTCTTCTTTACTTGGCAAGGTTATATTTTGACTATCTAAGCTCTAGGCATTACAGTTTGTTTGTTTGTTGATTTTTTTTAATGACATCAACAACAAAACAACTTCAATGAGATTCCCTACACAAGTCTTTTAAAACTGTGTTCCTAGTGAGGGCCTTTAAATCATGTTCCTGCAGTCCAAAATGGCTTTCTCTGTCACTTAGTTTACATTGACTTATATATTAAAATTCTTCTCCGAAACTATGTGCACAGAGAAGAGAAAATATCGTATATCATAACATTGTGATGCTATATAAAGATTATAAACTATTGGCATAGGGTCAAAATCACTTAGTTTACATGGACTCTTATTCGAATATAGTTATATGAGTCTTCTTGTAGTTCTGAGAGCCTAGTTATTGGACATGATTCTTTAAATCATGACTGGTGAAAAAAAGATACTCCTTATATGATTTTAGCATTCTTCAGTATAAAAGAATTATATACCTTTTCCAGCAGTGGGTCTTAGGCGTGTGATCTAGGGTCAACAATGCTCTCTTGTTTTATGGGAAAAATAAAGTAGGAACACATTTAGTTTATATTCCAAAGTATAAGCTATGTTTGTTATGTGGGTCAAGCGGTTTTATTGATACCTATTTTAGCACACCTAGTCATTAGATAATATGATGTATCAGTCGCCTAAATTTTTGTTTCTTTTGAAAATATCATGTCTACAATATCATGTCTACATAAGTTATTAGACATGGACGGTACTTATTCAATTATACTTGGTTACAATGATGTGCAAGTAAATATAACTTTGAATCATTCTGTTACAAGCTTTTAGCAAGACTAAATTGTGCAGGAAATAATTGTATTCATAAATAGACAACATTTCACTAAGGTCCAGGCATGATTTTATCTAACATATGGTTCGTTGATGAATATTCAGTCTTCTTTCTGTACAATTATCAAGTTATATTATGACTATTGAAACAACTTATATCATGCAAACACATTTTATAACTGAATGTATACATATGATTGTATCTGCATTTATTGATATTTTAGTACACCCTCTAGACCTGAAGGAAAACAAAAATACCTTAATACAATAAAATACTTTTACAGTGAATATTTGCATAAGAATTCTTAAAAAACGTTTGTACTACAATTGTCTGATAAATTTACCCCACCCAC